AGGTGTTCTCACATCCACCTGATAGGTTCTTCTTAGATTCCTACATAACATAAAACTTACCGTCTTACCCATGTTTCAGTGCTCAGTGGCGTTCGCACTGTGCTGCAGCCATCACCACCATCGTCTCCAGAACTCTTCATCTTCCCCAACTGAACCCCCCATCCTATTAAACACTAACCCCATTCCCTTCCCCAGCCCCTGGCAACAATTCCTCCCATCTTCATGAATTTGACTACTCTAGATACCTCATATAAATAGAATCATACAATATTTGTGTTTTTGTTACAGCCTTATATTTCACTTAGCTCACTGTCCTCAAGGTTTATCCATGTTGTAGCCTGTGTTAGAATGTCCTTCCTTTTTAAGGCTGAAGATATTCCATTGTATGCATCTACCACATTGTGCTTATCCATTCGCCTGTCAATGGACATTTGGGCTGCTTCTCTTTTGGCTGTTGTGCTGCTGTGAGCACTGGTGTGCAAGTGTCTATTCAAGTCCCTGCTTCCAATTCTTTTGGGTGTGTAACTGAGAGGTGGAATTACTAGATCCTATGGCAGCGGTTCTCAACCTGTGGGTCGTGGCCCCTTTGGTGGTCAAATGACGCTTTCACAGAGGTCGCTAAGACCATCCTGCATATCAGATATTTACATTATGATTCATAACAGTAGCAACATTACAGTTATGAAGTAGCAACGAAAATAATTTTATGGTTGGGTCACAACATGAGGAACTGTATTTAAAGGGCCAGAAGGTTGAGAACCACTGTCCTATGGTGATTCTATGTTTAATTTTTTGAGGATGTGCCATACTATCTAATACGTTTTTGCACAAAGCCAGAAGAAAGTGTTGAGGTGACTACATGCAGACCCTTCACCCCTCCACCCAGGAGCCTCCTTCTCCCCAGCACAGTGTAGGCCATGGGAAAGGTCTGAGAGGTGGTGAGGCTCCTGTCCTAGAAGCAGCTATTGCGGCCACATTCGTCAGTTCTTCTCCTGGAGTCCATGGCCAGGGGGCAGACCTCAGTCTTTTGTGGTCTCTGAGACCATCCATCACGAGGATAGCTCAGTCGCATGGCCATCTGATTTGTTCTCCAGACAGAAGCCCCCCTCCGTGACTTTCTTTTCTCACCTCTTCCTGTGGTTTGAATTCCCTCAGTCAGTTAATTAGCATGCCTGGCATTGTAGCTTAAGACTTTAATCAGCGTGGGGTGGTTTTAATTAATCGTGTGTGTCTGCATCTGGAGTGGTTTGTGTTCCAGGGTCAGGAGAGGAGCCAGAGATGGGGGATGGAAGAGGAGGCTTTGTGTGGTGTTCGGTGTGGGTAGAGAATCTAGGTATCTGGGGAGAGAGAAACGCAGTGGCAAGATGGCTCGGGAGCGACCTGGCCACCTGTGAAGCTTAGGAGCCACGCGCAGCCAGTAACCAGAGCCATTAGGGTACAGAACTGCACCGAGATAGATGGTGGACAAAATCTAGTTTTCAAAAGTGTCAGGAAATGTTCTGCTGGTTTTCAGAATTACCTGTGAGGTGGGGAGTGAGACAATGCAACAATGAAAACGTGACTTTGGAGATTTCCCTGGGCCTAGCCTTCTTCAGGAAAGTCCCAGAAAGGCGAGGGGCTGGCATCTAGTTCTCAAATAATAGTGACCGTTCTACTTGGTCTTTCAGAACCCTGTTGGCTCCCCCAGTTTTAGCATCCATGCTTTAAAAAAAAATGAAAAAAAAAACCTCACTAGAGTTCAGCAGAGTAATAAAAAATGGCCGAAAACATAGATAGAAAGATCCTAAAAGTGAAGGTTAAAGAAAGTTAAGTTTCATTAAAACTGCACAGGGGTCCACCTAGATGGAAAGCAAAGAATGATGCTTAACTGTTACAGCAGCCAATAAAAGCACTTAAATAAGTCCAGGAAGTGGGGATAACCCCAGAGTTTCATCCCAAAGATGAAGCAATGGACAACGTAGGGGCAGACACCACAGTTCAAGGAAGAAATGATGTGTTCAAGATATAATAGAAGAAGACTTTTTCCATACCTACTCAACTCCTGATCGAATTCATGAGGCCAGGAAGACTGTCAGAGCAATCTTCTGTGATGTGGGAGAGACGTAAAGTGGCAGTGTCATGCAGAATGGGTATTCATGACACAGATCACAGGATAATCACTTGTAACATGCTTGATCCGGTACAAAACTTCATACCTGGTGGGTCACTGACCTGTGCTTCACAAAACTCTACAAATTAAGGGGGGATTTTTATTTCCATGTTTAAAGATGAGAAAAATTGAGGATCTCATTGCCATACTAGGGTGAAGCCAGAATTTGAACCTAGTTCTGCACACTTTCACACTCTTTGCAACCAAGCAAAAATGACTCTGGCTCAAAATCCAGAGAGAAAGGACTTTACAATTTCAGTTATTGACAGTATTAAACACCAGTTGCAAAATATTTTTAGAAAACTGAATGCAAAGGCTTGAGAATATCAGGTTGGCCAAGCAGCTGGCTCTTTGTGTCGCACACCCCGGAACCCCATGGCACAGCCATCCAAGACAAATTATAGAACAAGTTCGTGGGAGAAACTGGGGAGGATATTAATTAAGTTTAGACCAAGAAAATGCTTTCGATTGAACAAATCATGATTTTCTCTTTAAGACCAGGCAAAAAAGTGCAGTGCTAGACAAGCAGCTGGAACAGATGAAAATATTATTATGTACTTATGTTACCAACTTGCACCATCTATGGCCCCTTTTATTACCTTTTTCCCCTCCAGGCATCATGTTTTGAAAGATTTTTGCCTACTAAACAAAGTGAATGTATTAAGTAATAATATATTTCCTATTCTTAATATAGCCCATACATCATTGGGTTCGCATACAAACAGAAAACAGCAACAATTCAATTTCCATTAGACTTTTGGAAATATTGAAAATAGCTTTTGGACCTCATTACCATTCACAAATTCCTATGGGTCCAGGTACTTTGGGCTGGGAACCATTATTTATATGCTTCTATGACCAGCACGTAGATGCCCTTCCAAGAGGTATGGGAAGAAATTAAGGGGGCAGCGGGAAGAGGGTGAGTTCCTGGCTGTGTGTAGAGTCAGTGGGGTAATTTGTAAGAAACTGATTGTCAGGATTAATTACACAAATGGCAAGGGTGTCTGTAGGTAGAGCTGAGGCATGGCTCATGCTGATCACATAAGTGGTAATAAAAGGAAAGAGAAAATCCCCAATGTGCAAAAAAGACATCTGAGAATGTGGAGAAAGGGCCCCCAAGGCCAAGGGCAAAGCAATAAGACTGGAAACAGGAAACTAAAAGGTAACTTGGAAGAAGTGAAAACGCAGTGTGGTCGTTAAGAATGCTCAGTGTGTACTTGAGAGAAATAAAACAAAACAGAAGGTATATAAAGGGAAAAGGAAAATTAGGGGAGAAAGGAAAACGAGATCACGTGGGATTTAGAATTCATTATTAATTAAATCCCAAAGGGAGTTTTGAGCCTGGGCAGGCTCTGGTGCCAGTTCGCTGTGCAAGAGTTACAAGTCGCCTCTGCCAAGCGGTACATAATTTTGTGGAGGCAGATGCTTCTATGCAAGGCAGCAGGGAGAACACAGACTCCGCATTTGCTCGGCATGCACGGAGGTGCAGTCAGGTCAGCGGGGTTTACAGCTCAGGGCCTGTTGTCTGATGGCAAGAACTTTTAAAAGATGACCACATCACATTCTCTTAGTTTAAGCCGAAAGATTGGGTAAGAAATCATTGCAATAAAAACGTATCCCAAATGGAAAAGGATGATTTTTTTAAAAAAAAGTTTTGTAAAGAAGAACTGGAGAATTAAGGCCAAGGCTAGATATAAAAATGAATAAATAAATAAAATTCCATTTACTCCTGCGGATTGGCATTAAGTGCCTTCTATGTATCGGGCCCTGAGAATTCGTGTCAAAGGGATCCCGGCAAAGCTACATCGGAGGACAAAGAAAGGAAGCAGATCCCTGGGAGCACGCTGGCAATGGAGGCGTTTGGGCTCAGCAGCCGTGTCACCTGGAACATTTACAGTAACGAGTGGCTGGTGAAAGCAAATGTAAAGTTTTGGGGTTGGAGAGGAAGCCTCTAGTCATGAAAAGGTGTGGGTAAGAGGAGAAAGAGCGCAGCTGCTCTTTAAAAGCACCAGAGTGAAAACTGAAAAGCTCTCGGAGCCAGTTGGCCAACATTATGAGAAAAAGAGAGTAGCAGGTAATAGCTACAGAGCGAGTTTATTGCACCTTGTTCAAAGGCATGGAGAGCCCGGCTGGTGTGGCTCAGTGGTTGAGTGTAGACCTATGAACCCGGAGGTCACAGTTCGATTCCTGACCAGGGCACATGCCCAGGTTGGGGGCTCTATCTTCAGTGTAGGGGCATGCAGGAGGCAGCCGATCAATGATTTTCTCTCATCATTGATGTTTCTATCTCTCTCTCTCCCTCTCCCTTCCTCTCTAAAATCAGTAAAAATCTTTTAAAAAAAAAAGCATGGAGAAAAAGTGAAGGTCTTGGTGGTGGGTTCAAGACCCCCTGGAACCACAAAAATTATGAAGGAGGAGGGTGAGAAGAAGGCAAAATACTTTGTGGCAAAAGAGATACAAGACTGGAGAAAGAATAAACATTTGAGTTCATGACGTTGATAAGAAACATATGATGAACTGGATGTTTGTAGAGATATTTTGGGGTTTCGGTGGTGAGGAAATGTAAATGCAGACTATATAAGTATATTATATAACAATTTAATCTGACCTGTATGCAGTCGATTCCCAGAGATTTCTAAGAAAATAACAGGTGGCTATCTCCCTTGGGCACTTACGCGGCCACCTGCTCAAATATGGTCACGCAAGGTCCCTTTCGGTTCTGGGGCTCTGGACTCTTCATGCTCCTGCACTGTTTTAGGTGATACACCTGATAGACTGCAGCCTCTTTCTGGGGAACGACTGAGTGTCCTGCAAAACCTTGACCACTCTCTCGCTTGTTGTCCTGTCCCAGCTCACCAGAGTGCCCGTGGAGTCCTGTGGTCAGTATCGGAGCTGCAGTGAGTGCCTTGGCTCGGGTGACCCCCACTGCGGCTGGTGTGTGCTCCACAACACGTGAGTACCGCCCGCAGCTTCCTCCCGCCGCCCCCTTCCCCCAGTATGTCTCTTCCTCATCTTCTCTGTCACCACTCCTTCCTTTCCATCTCTCTTCTCTCCCTGCCTTTGCTGATTCTTTGTTCCTTGTATCATTTGAGAATTTTATCTTCCTTCTTTTGTTCCGATTTCACTTTAAATCACCAAATTCCCATAAGACCTATAGAAATGGCAGTGTGGGAATGGTGACGGGTCAGGCTATGGAATGAAGCTGGAGGGCTGGACGGAGGTTCGGACATTTCTGACCGTGACTTGACTCTAGGTTGACATTCCAGGACTAAACGGCAAGGAAAAGGCATTGGGCCTTTTCCTCAGGGGCCACTCAATCATGCGCTGGATCCATACTGTCTGTGTAATGATTCACATCCACCTCGCAGATTCTTTGATACCCAGCCCCTGAATCTTCTGGTGCTTGAGACTCTCCTGGTTCTGCTCAAGTGTGTGGTTCCCTCTGTCGTCAGCACTCACCTGGCCGCCAGAGCAGCTGGGCCTGGGGTCACAGTGAAGCCCTGTCCCAAGGCCGGGCACTCTGCCCTTGTACACCTTTTGTGCTGATTCCATTTTATTCTGTAAAAGTGGGAAGAGGGCAAAGGTATGCAGGGGAGGCAAAGGGTAACCTGGTACATGAAATGAGTGTGGGATGCAGGGGACAGACAACCAGCCCAGACATGTGGGGAGATTGAAGGCCTTTCTTATGGGATCCAAAGACTCTTGGCATCACTGACTGGAGAAGCCAACGATAGGTGGACCCCACTCTGATGGAGTCGGGTCCCAGTCAAACTGTTGCCGTTGGAACCCCAGGTTTCTAGTCAGCACTTGAAGCCTGATGCTCTGTGAGTTGGACATAAGTGCCATAAACTAAGGAAAAGGACTTTAGCCTTCCTGCTTCGTTAGTTGCACTTAGTCATTTTCAACTTTATGAATAGCAGGACAGAATCCTGCCCCGCCCCAAGGAGTTCCTCTGAAAGTTGGAAACACCCCCCTAAATTCTAACACATCCTCTCCAAAGACACAAGCACACTTATCGCTGGGTGACAGTCTTGGGCATAATGAGCCCTTGAGCTCTTTAAGAGAAGCTCTGAAATCCCTCGGGTGTGGTGTGTCTGGGAAAACTGGAGACAACTGACGTGCACTGGAATACACATAACTCAGAGCCAATCAGAACCTGGTGCCGAAGTGTACACAGAGCTTACAGTAACCGGGAGCAGTGGAGCCCAGAGTGGCTTGTGGCAGAGGATGGAAGAGATTGCACTGAGAATTCAGGTCAGCTCTGACAACCCAAGAGAATGCCTAGCTCAGTGGTTGCCAACCGGTGGCCCAAGGGCCACTGGTGGTCCCTGAGGTCCAAAAAGTTGGTGACCGCTGGCAGAAGGGAGGTCATTTTCTTTGTCCTACACAGTGAGGCCTCTCAGAAAGGGACCGGGCTCCAGGCCCATTGCTTCCTCGGGACCGTAGGCCAGCTGGCCTTCTGCTTGGCCGAGGCTGGCTCGGCTGCTGCTGGCACAGGCACTCACATCTGGCACTGTTCAAGGGCAATCAGAAGAGCTGGCCCCTCTCTGACGCCCTATGCCTAGGGGACCCAAAAGCAGGTCTCCGTGTCAGCTTTGATCCTGCCCGTTGACGTGGCAAGCCCCACACGGCACTGAGCTGCCCACCGTTCATCCTCCCATCCCCTGACCTGAGTTTAAACAGGAACGAGGGGAGGAGATACCAGAAACTACTTCTTGCATGGCCTCAGCTTCCCCTTTAGTAACATAATACCTGCCTCCTGTCAAGTGATAGGAAACAGGTGGGCTGGGGACAAGGTCAAGTCCGGACAGTTCATGAACGAGGCCATCAGCCTGTGCTGGGAAGCCAGAATGACTGCTGTCATCGCGGCTTCAAGAAAACAGCCATGGGCAGGAACTTTGGGCATCTTCCACCAAGTCCGAAGTCCATCCTCCTGCTCCCACCCCCATCCCAGCTGTGCAGCACCTGGGGCAGCATCCCAGCTCCTCATCTGTGGATTGGTGATGATGATTGACCTGCCCACCTCCCTGAGTCTGAGGGGAATCTAATGAGATCATGCGGAGGAAGGGCACTGGAAACTGTAGAGAGTGACATGCAAGGTGAGGGTGGGACGGGAATCTTGACACATGGGGAAGAACTGAGAGCTCCTGGGGGCCCTGCCTCTTATGACCTTGGTTGACCCCTATTGTTTGTCCAGATGGCTCTGCTTTAATTGCATCCTTTCCTCCCCAGCGGTCTCCCAGCTTCCGACTACCTTCCTCTGGTGGTAGATGCTCCTCCTGCCTTCCTCTCGCCTCCGTTAACCTGGCGGCATGTCTTATCCAGGTGTACATCAGGACAGCCCTTGTGGAGCACAGGCACCCAGAAGGCGGAGGCTGGACAGTGCTTTTTCCGTGCCTGCTCCTCAGCGCTGCTGCAGGGGTGCCCTCCCCCCCCCAAATGCCACTGTGGGAACAACTGGGTGAAAGTCGTGCTGGACTCTGGAGGGAGGACTGTCATAGAAATCAGTGCAATGCAGCCTCGCTTTGTGCAGACATACTATGGGGCTTTGGATAAGAAGAGCCGATTCTCATGGCTCCTGGTATTCTATACAGTCACCTCGAACACCCAATCCCTGAATACTGAACCATCATCGCTCCTAGGAGAAACACAGAGCTAGGTTCCTATGAGCCTCCGGTCAGTCCCAGCATTTTTGTCAGCCCATCAGTACATAACCATGTTTTATGTATGTTTCTGTTTAAAGACACCTTATTTAATATACATTTTTTCACTAACCTTGAACTCACAGCCAACAGCATTATAGTCTGGGCCTGATGGAAGTGTTTATTTGCTCCATAAGACACATCCCAGCCTTCTCCCACTTAGGACCACTGGGCAGCACTTCACCATGATACTTGGTGAAGAGCCATTTTAAATAGCAGAATCACCAAGAAAAGGCACAAAAATGTGAAAAACATGACACTAAATAGGGCACAAAAAATACATTCATACTGAGAGCTGAAACAAGAGGGCAGCAGGGTGGCCTTGTTGGATCTCGGCCGGGGGCGTCTGCTGGTGGCCACTGAGATTTTCCTCTGCTCTGCTCATGTTTGGGAGTGACCTTGAAAAGGCTGCAGTATCGATAGGAGGATTATAACAAATGTTAGCAAGTAGGCAAATTCACAATACGGCATCCACAGATGACGAGGACCGACTGTGTCAGACACAGTTTATAGAGAGGAAGCACCATCTGTCTCACAGCGACGGTGGTGTGAGGCTCCACGGAGGTCATGAAGGATCTTGTGAAAGCTCCTGCGGGCCTAGGTGCTCTCTGTGACCTCGGGCCTCAGGTTGTGTGAAGACCCTGGTGTGGCGGCTGAGCTGACATATCTGCTAAATCCCAACACTGCTGGGAGGATTCAGCTCACAGCACCTCTAGGCCAAGGCCACCCACCCACCATGACGCTCAGCACATCCATCCGGCCTCCCTAGCAGAGTGAATGGCCAAGGAGACGCCCTGGCCTCAGGGCGGAGAAGAGTAGGTCCCTGGCTCTTCTGAGATGCTTGCAATCAGGGTGTAATGTTTAAATTTATAGAGTGTGACCCGCGGGTCCTAAGTGCACAATTTGAAAAGTTTTGACAGATGCAAACACTCAGGTAATCCATACCCCATAGAGATATGCATTTCCTTCCTCCAGAATGCTCTCTCCTGCTCCTTCCCTTTCTTCCCAGTGGGCCTTTCTTCCCTACTTCTGAAGTTCAGGTCAAAGCCATTGCCTCTGCTGATATGCTCTCTTTTATTTTAAATGGATGCCAACTGGACAGTCCTGGGTGGGAGAGGTGCATGAGGACATGGGCCGAGCAGGAGGGGAGAGAGGCTGCAGCCAGCAGAGCAGGTGCAGGAGGTCGGGAGGAGCAGAGAGCCTGCAGACACTTACTCTGGACACCTCACTTTGCTAGGAAGGAAGCGTGGTGAAAATGCAGGGGTTTTCTCTTCATGGGAGTGTTGTGGCCATACCACAGGCCTCTCACACTGACCCTGCCCCCTCTGTACCAGGGGACTATGTGAGACCACCTCTGCCCTGACTCTTGGGATGGGGGAGAGGGTTGCCGTCTGTACTAGCATCAGAACGTTTGGTAGGCACATGTCATGGATGAGACCCTGTGCTGAGTGATGCAGAGCCCAGGGAACATGCCTGTCAGGAAAACCAGGGCACAGAGCACCAGGAAGAAGGCTCCTTTAGGTCACAAGACAGCTGTCACTTTTGCCAGCTTTCCCCATGGTTGTAGGAATAGGAGAGTGGGAACTCTGTGGGAAGGGAAAGATAGAAGGGGTGTGTGTGTGTGTGTGTGTTTGTGTGTGTGTGTGTGTGAGAGAGAGAGAGAGAGAGACAGAAAGACAGTGACAGGAATAAGAGGCCAGCACTAGAGCATGCACAGTTCAAGGCGGAGCCCCTGCTACCAGGTGGCTGTCATGGCTGAAAGGGCTGTTTGTACTACAAGGGCACAGGTGGGTTACAGACTAAACAGGCTTAAGAAATGCTCGTGTAATTGAAACCCTCCCTCCGGTTACTCAGTCCCAATTGTCTTCAAGAGCTGGCCTGCCAGCCCCGGCAGCACAGAGGGTCACCCTGCGGCCCTTCTCACAGTGCCTCCGGCTTACTGGTGTCTAATGGCAATGATAGCTTCAACAGTGTTGGTATTTATTTGTCCATGAATCTTGAGCCTTAATTCCCTGGGCATTGATCTTGGGCCTAAACCTACATGTTCTGACTTGGGTGAAGGTAAAGGAAAGCCAACGGCTCATCTTGCCTTCACCTGTCCTGGGCCTGGAACCTTGCCTCCAACCACCAGGCTTGGCCGGTCCCCAGCCCCTCTTTATCTTCCCCTCCCAGGCCTTGGCCAAGTAGCCTATCTCAGCCCAGCAGGTAACGGGATCCACGGCAGACCCAGCCGCATCGATTGGCCCAGAC